ACCTTTTCTTTCTTTATTTTTTTCTTTGATATAAAGACAATTCTCTAAACATACTTTTCTGCTTTGGTGTGCTCTCGGTATCCATTGTCCTGAGCCTCATACAGCAAACATTGTTTTCTGTGGATGCCTGCTTTCTTCTTTAAGAATAATTAATCCAAAATTTAATTAAAAAAATCACTTTCCCAAACAGAGTGTTTCTTCATATTCTCATTTGCTGTATTTAGACTAATTTGTCTTGACATTGCAGCTGTGCTGTTCTTTGTGTTGCACAATCTTTTGAGTTTTGTTTCATTAAGAGTGGAACTAAAGAATTTGGGGAAGGGGAGGGAAGAAGTGCTAGACTGTTGGAAGTTAATTTGCCGTAAACCAAAATGTTGAGAACAGATTACGAAAGCTATGAAGTGACATGTAAACGCTTGTTCAGTTTCACACTTGTGAGAAATAAGTCATTAAAGCTGCGTGCACATGAAATAGATGTTTGGTTACGGCTACTGGGAACGGTTTGCTCTTCCTGGGGTAGGCAGAAGCATAGAGGAATTAGGAATTGATTCCTTAAGATTAGGAATTGATTTCTAGGCTCCAAAAAAAACTTAAAAGTTGAACTAGATGGAAAAACTAGCTCTGCTCTCTCTTCAGAATAGCTTCTTATGTTCTATCTGTCCTACATAGTTGCTGTATCTAAACTATACCACAGGTTAGAAAATGCATGTTTGCACCATGATTTTCGGGATTTTCTTTTTTTTTTACCCCCCCAAAAAAGGAAAAAAAGCTAATTCTGAGTGATGAGGATGTTTAATTTAAATTTCTGATGTTGAACACCGTGTAACTTCCCCTGTTCCTCACCCTGGTGCATCACAATACCATTCCTTTCATCCACTGGATTCTACTTACTGGTTTCTCCTCAGTGTTGAAAAGCCCGTTATGTTTGCAATTAATAAAAAGACCCAGCTCTGACTTTTAAGTACTTAAATGTTTTGGTGAAACGTCTTCCTCTGCAGCTGTGAGGGGGAAAACGGAAACCTAAAGGATCAAACCAGAAGGCAGATAGTTGGATTAAATCACTTGAGTTGATTTGAATTATTTTAGCGGCCTGGTTTGTGACCTCTAAGGCCATGGACAAAACACATTTCTTGCTTGGTATCTTCTAATACTTTGGGTTTTTTTATTATTATTATGGAGGATTAGCATGTCCATGCATCACCTCGGAAGACTGATGTGGGCTGTGCTACCTGTTCAGACGAACTCCAGATGGGAAGGCCACCCAAGGAGGCATCTTGCCCCGAACCGGTCAAGCTCTTAACTAGTTTCTCAGCAGCACAACAAGCACACAGAAGGCTTCAGGTCTGGAAGGCAGATGTAGCCAGAGCTGAAAGAAACTAGAAACAAGAAACTAGGTTGATCTGGTTTATGTAACAGGCAGAAAAACTGGGGACCAGAGTATGGAGGAAGCCGCTTTGATCAAGGAAGTGGGTTGTGCCAGAAGCTCAGTAAGAACACTAATTTATTTGGGGATTGCTTTATGCCGTGAAAGAGAATAACTTCACTTTGGGATTGTTTTTCCCAGCAAGAGGAGGCTGGGAGGAGCAGTGGGCAAGCCTTTACTCTGAGCCTGGGAAGGCGTCCTTCCCCCCCCCGTTAGGGTGTGCCTGCCTCTGACGGGGCTTGTTTTCCAGCCCTGACTCCAGCTGGAGCAGATGGCTTGGAGGATGGCAGAGACCGAGGTGGCTTTCTCTGACATCCACTTAGCAGTCAGCTATCAGCATCTTGGCTCCCCTACTCGTAGGGTGTGCCTGCCTCTGACGGGGCTTGTTTTCCAGCCCTGACTCCAGCTGGAGCAGATGGCTTGGAGGATGGCAGAGACCGAGGTGGCTTTCTCTGACATCCACTTAGCAGTCAGCTATCAGCATCTTGGCTAAGTTTCCTACGTAGGACAGTTGTTTTATCTTTACAGACTGCCTCAGCTTCAGGTTTTAAATGGATTTGGGGGATAACACCCCATGACAAAGTAGGGGGCCTCCTCTGAACGGGCTGTTTCAGAAGACTGAGGTCTCACGCAAAGATTGCCATGAATTGCAGAGGAGCTGGGCTTTTTCCTATGTGGCCATAAATGGCCTTTTTAAGAGGTGACTTACACCAAGTGACTGTAGTTCTGCTGCTGGGAGTTGCTCGGTCTGCATCTTGAAGTGCTGAAGATGTCACCCAGAAGTGTCCTCAGTAGGGTTTATTTGTCAGTTTCCTCTCAGTTGCAGATGGGTTACTTTAGCCACAAGCTCTGAAAAACCTCAAAACTTTGTAACCTTTATGCTTTGAAGGAGCGTAGTGTAGTTGTGTGGGTTTTCTGAAATTATTGCTTCGTGGTTGTTCTGGTTATTTCCCATATCTGTGTATACGCCTGTGAAGATCATCGTCTTCAGCTGTAGATACAGACACTTATGGTCACCTAGTTATAGTTCAGTGTATTTTTGGGGGAAAAAAAAGAAAAAAATGCAGTGCCAGAGTAAAGATAATAGAAAAGACAATCCAAGAAAGTTTGGTGCAATTGCCTGTTGTTTATCTCTGGGAAGAGAACATAGATTCCATGTCTTGAAAGCGGTAGGAAACACAATCTATCACTAATTCTTTCCCTTCTTTCTCTCCCCCAAGACAAGCTCCGAGGTGAGTGCCCCTTCCTTTCTCTAGTTACTGTGGTTTGCAGCCAAGGCTTCAATCTCATAGAGTCATAGAATGGCTTGGGTTGGAAAGGATCTTAAAGATCACAGGAGGTCTGGATTAGTCATTTAACACCTGCAGGCAAAAAATGTTGTACAAGAACATGTGAAAATCATTAGAGCAAAACTGTCCTGACGTCTGTGATTGGAAAATGCAGACAGCATAAGAATGGAATTAGATGGATTCAGCTGCACGTCTTTTCAAGAACGCAGCTGACACGGCTCAGACCAACAATTAAGCAAGTAGCAAATACTTAAGGGGCATTTGCATGCTGGGGTTTGGATCCAAGTTACATGGGAAGACCAGGTTTCTGGAAGGATGAAGGATTAAGCGTTTGTGTGGTAGTGAGTGAGTTAGAATAGAATAATGGCTCTGTCATTAGCAGATTTATATATTAACTGGGCATGTTTGTGATTAAAAAGCGTTATCTGAAGTTCTTTGGCAACTTAAAAGTGATCTCATGTAGCACACGGAAAACCTAGAAGCTGAAGAAAATCATAACTGCACATACTGCTTTATTACTTTGTTGATTATTGGTTTTTCTAGCATATACAGTGCTCTGCTTAATACTTATTTTAAAAAAGAAAGTTGTCGGCTCAGTTTCAGAAAACAGATATGGCAAAGGTAGATGTCCTAGGAAGGGTGATCTTCTACTCAATGCCTTTAGTGTATTGCTTAAAATTTATTTTTTTTATTTATTCATTAACTCTGACTTGGTTTTTTAAACAGAAACGAACTTTGTTATAATCAAAGCATAAAAACTCGAGGTTAAAATCAAGTTTGATCTCGAGACTTGCTTTTGTTGTATTTTGAAATTCTTAAAATGTGGAATCAATACTAGAAATGTATATCATGTCTTTTTAGTTAGAGCAATGCTTATGGATACTAATTAAGATGGCAAGTAGTTCAGACTAGCAGATATTTACTGTATAATGTGCAAAAAGTAACATCAGCAAATGCTCTGCCTCTATTATTTCTTTTCATGTAAAATGCCCAAGATCGTAAGTTAATTAGATAAAACCAGCCAGATCTAACTTGCAAAACACACTTCAATAATTAGAACTGATAATCGGCACTGGCCTTAACACAGATGTGCTGGATGGTGTAATTAAACACTTGGCATTCCTTTTTCTGTCTTGAAAAAATGTGACTTCCATTTTAGGGTCAAATTATCTCTTTCTGATAACTGGTCTCTTGCAGAAAAATAAACACGTCTGAGCTCAATTGATCCTTTAACCTTAGGATTTCTGGAGATACAATCCTTGCTGCCTCGGTGTCTGAATTCACAAACAAACTGTAGATGTTCTGTTGGTGGTTTTGATTGTAGATGTTCTGTTGGTGTTTTTGACCAACTCAGAAGTTGAAAACCTGTGCAGTGATCGTACTTCTATTTTCTTGATAATAAACTAAGATAGGGGTTTTGAGCACTTTCTCACTAATGTAATATGTTCGTGGTGTAGGATTTTATTTTGATTTTTTTTATTTTTTTTTTTACTTTGTAGACCACTAAAGCCTTCCTTCGTTAACTCTTGACTTGTTTTTTTTAAACAGAAACAAACTTTGTTATAATCAAAGCATAAAAACTGGAGGTTACAGTCAAAGTTTGATCTTGAGACTTGCTTTTGTTGTATTTTGAAATTCTTAAAATGTGGAATTGATACTAGAAATGTATATCATGTCTTTTTAGTTAGAGCAATGCTTATGGATACTAATTAAGATGGCAAGTAGTTCAGACTAGCAGATATTTACTGTATAATGTGCAAAATGTAACATCAGCAAATGCTCTGCTTCTATTATTTATTTTCATGTAAAATGCCCAAGATCGTAAGTTAATTAGATAAAACCAGCCAGATCTAACTTGCAAAACACACTTCAATAATTAGAACTGATAATTGGCACTGGCCTTAACACAGATGTGCTGGATGGTGTAATTAAACACTTGGCATTCCTTTTTCTGTCTTAAAAAAATGTGACTTCCATTTTAGGGTCAAATTATCTCTTTCTGATAACTCGTCTCTTGCAGAAAAATAAACATGTCTGAGCTCAATTGATCCTTTAACCTTAGGATTTCTGGAGATACAATCCTTGCTGCCTCGGTGTCTGAATTCACAAACAAACTGTAGATGTTCTGTTGGTGTTTTTGACCAACTCAGAAGTTCAAAACCTGTACAGTGATCATACTTCTATATTCTTCATAATAAACTGAGATAGGGGTTTTGAACACTTTGTCACTAATGTAGTATGTTCGTGGTGTAGGATTTTATTTTGATTTTTTTTTTTTTACTTTGCAGACCACTAAAGCCTTCCTTCCCAAGATGCTGGAAATGAATCATGGACACATCGTGACAGTTGCGAGTTCCTTGGGATTGTTCAGTACTGCTGGAGTGGAGGTTGGTTAGACTCTAATTAAAAATAAATTAGGCGCTTCTTGCTTAGATAAGCTTTTTTATATTATCAGCTAGAGAAAATAAAGTCAAATCTTCAAAGATACTTGGAAGTGGTGCTGAGTACCGTTCCAACGCTCCAAGTGGGATCTGCAGGGCTTGGCTTGGTAGCCACCGTATTCACCAGCTTTGCAGGTGGATTTGCCACTTGGAGTAAAAGCCTAGGATGGCTAAGGATCTCAGGATGCTAAATGATCTTTGACTTACCTGGTAAATTTAGGAACCTGAAAGGTGCCCACCTGCCTGCCTCTGTCAAGATCTTCAGTGCTGAGCTTGAAGCCAGAAGCAAGGAGTTTCAAAAAGAATGTTTTCTGTTTCTGTGAGGAAGGAGCTGCCAGAATATGTGTCTCCTTCCTTCCAGAAAACATGGCTCACCTGCTTTACCAGTTACCAGCATTAGGTTGTCTAGTTGCTAGCAGCTCTTTGAGAACACCAGTTGGTGAGACTTGCTTGATACATAAAACTAGGTTGGGATTAGAGCCTGTTATCTTCCTTTTTTGGGGTCATTAGCACGAACGCGAGTATGAGCAAAAAGCATTCAGTTAGTGAAGATGAATTCATGTGTCCAAAGGAATAATGGTCATATTTACCCCATAAAGGTAAATCCCATAAAAGACTTCTTTGCACACAGGTAAGGCTCAATCCAGGACCTTAAAGTGCAGTGTTTTGTAACAGAAATGAATGAATCTGGTATAACTTCAGGCTTTTTAGAGTATTTACTGTCTTGAGAAAACCGCAAAGAATTTCCTAGACTTGTAGGTGTGATCACCAGCAGAGGCAGATGCTTCCAACTGCAACTGCAAATACTTCTCTCTATGCAATTCTTTTTGATGCTGCTGAACTTGGTATTTTGATGAGATACACAAGCTGTATTGTTTTCCGAAAATTAAATAATAATTCCGAAAATAAATAATCAAATCTGCATTATATCTTCTGTTGAAACTAACCTTAACAAATAAAGCATGTAAGAGTTTTCCACCTATGCCCTGCCAACTCCCCAGGCTTTTTCCAACCTGACCCAAGGTAGTATTAGGTAGCTCAGTCCTTTGTTGTAACCTTTAATATTAAAGCAAACTGGTAATCGGAGTAACTCGCTGTGTGAGCCTGCCCCTGATTCAAAGACTGGAAGCCAAGGTAATATCCTCCTACATTCAGCTTTCGTGATTCCATGCTAATTGCCTCAAGAGCAAAGTGATAAATGAGTTGATGGGACGCTCTGTTCGGTGGCTCTCTTGTTGCTTTGAAAATCTGCTCGGAATCACCTCGGATATGCTTTGGCTTTGAACATGACTCATATCTGTCCTTTTTAAGTTGTCTTTTTTTTTTTTTTGCTTTGTTCCTTGCCAACACAGGATTATTGCGCCAGCAAATTTGGAGCTGTAGGTTTCCATGAGTCTTTGAGCCATGAATTGAAGGCTGCTGAAAAGGACGGAATCAAAACAACTTTAGTCTGCCCTTATCTTGTAGATACAGGAATGTTCAGAGGGTGCAGGATCAGGTGAGTGAAATTCTCCTTCTGCTCGGTGTTTGTAGTGCCATAAAAGTACTTAAGGTAACTAAACTTACCATAAAAATACTGAAATAAGTATTATATCTGCTTTAATATGCGTTAGAATCAACAAAAGAGAGTTTCTGAATTCATTGGGTGTCTTCTGTCCTCTTGTAACTATAGTCTTTGTAACTTAACACTGAATATAAAAAAAAAAAAATGTCCCTGCTGAGGCATTCCAAAGAAAGTGAGTTAATGAACTCTTCCCTGAGGTCTGCAGTCCTTTATGGATCTTATTAACCTGTCTCTGTCACACGTTTCAGAAAAGAAATTGAGCCTTTCCTTCCGCCCTTGAAGCCGGAATACTGCGTGAAGCAGGCGATGAGAGCCATCCTTACGGACCAGCCCATGATCTGCACACCTCGCCTCATGTACATGGTCACCTTCATGAAAAGGTAAGAGCTGAAGTGACAGTTTGTTGGCAAGTCTACAGAAGACTAGTACAATGCAGGAGCGTGTCCACTTTCTGGACATAAATACCCTCCCACCCACACAGGCCGTAGGTGGGTGTTTTGTTAGGATTCATAAGTCTCTTTTACAGAATCACAGGCTGATACGGGGTTGGAAGGGACTTCTGGTGGAGATGACCTAGTCCAACCTCCTGCCAAAGCAGGTCCTTCTAGAGCAGGTCCCACAGGAATGTGTCCAGGTGTTTGAATGTCTCCAGAGAAGGAGACTCCACCACCTCTCTGGGCAGCCTCTACCAGGGCTCTGCCACTCTCACAGGAAAGAAGTTCCTCCTCATGTTTAGGTGGAACTTCTTACGTTCAAGTTTGTGGCCATTTCCTCTTGTCCTGTCACTGGGCACCGCTGAAAAAAGACCAGCCCCATCCTCTTGATGGCCACCCTTTAAGTATTTATAGGCGTTGATCTGATCCCCCCTCAGCCTTCTCTTCTCCAGGCTAAAAAGACCCAAGTCCCTCTTTCTTGGCTCGCGGGCTTGGGAAGCTCCATAAAACTGATATCCCATGTGCTATGCATCCTTGGTTTACCCTTCTGCTCTCTTCCATCCTCCTCATTTCTTGGCTCGCGGGCTTGGGAAGCTCCATAAAACTGATATCCCATGTGCTATGCATCCTTGGTTTACCCTTCTGCTCTCTTCCATCCTCCTCAGATTGCTATTTCCTTTTCAACAGACTTTAATTCCCATATTTTGGGCTCCTCCTTAGGACATGGGACATGAGGCAGCTTCCAGCAAAGAACCCTCTCACTCTTTATCTGTAGAACTGGTGTGTAGGAGGCCCTGCCTGTGGATTCTCTAGGACTCGCACAGATAAACTGTAAATCTGCACATTCAGAACCAATTTTCAGAGCCTTAAGTCTGGGGGAAGGGCTATTTAAAGGAGTGGCCTCCTTTGTCCTGTCCAAGGCACCGCCGTTTTTGGATGGGAGCTGTGTTTAATCCATAACCAGGCTGACATTTCGATGATGCAGGGTAATACAGGAGTTGGCTCGATTCCACTGACGCAACACCGCTTGCATTCTAGTTTGTGGAGAACAGCTTCACAGCTGTGGTTGGAGTGTTTGGTGGTTTTTTTTTAAAATCTGTAGTGTGTAGGAGGAACCTTTAAAATAAAGCATTGTCTTGTTTTCCTTCTGCAAGGGATGGTTGAAACTGAGAAACTTGGTGATTGTATTTTTTTTCCACTTGCAAGGCAGTGGTTCTCCTCTGCCTCAAGTCTCTCATGGTGGACAGGCCCACCAAAGACCAGAGGAGTCTTCACTGCTCGAGTCTTTCCTGGAAGAGAGTATGTCTGGGTCTCTTTGGCCAACAAGGCCGCTGTCAGCATCTTTAAGAACTGCCTTCTTCAGCCAGAAGCTCAGAGGGTGCTTCGGTGCCTTATGCAGCAACAGTCACATCAAAGGCCCTTCGGGTTGTCTTGGTTCAACACTTTAGCTTCCAACAGGGAGATCAAAGCTCCTGCATAATCCATGCCCCAGGCAGCAGCTCTCAGATCAAAGGCCCTCCAGTCCCCGCTGCACAAGCAGTGGGGGACACCTGTACCAGTGACATCTACTTCTCAGGCCTTCGGTGGTCATTGCCCTTGACGGCTCGATTCTGTGCCCTGCTTTCCACTCCATGTCTCCCAGGGGCTGAGGAGATCCCACCTTAGTCTCTCACTAGAGCCCCTGAAGCAATATTTTGTGGGTGTGGGAAGGGAGGGGAGGGTCTGTAGCCAGGTACCCGTCACGTAGTCACCTCTTGGAATTTTGTCTTGAAGGGGGGGAAGAAGGAAATTGCTCTCTTTCCTTCGGACCTCTCTTTTTGAAAATGGATGGTTGAGTTCAGAATATAAGCCAAGGTTGTTAGACATCTGGTGATCAAAGAATGGCATTAACTAACACTAATCCCACATTAAAGAATATCTTAAATGTCTGATGACCTCTGCTGATGGGGCTTTGAGCAGGCTTTGCTTTCAGTAGGCCTTCGGTGGTGCCCTTGTGCCCCTCCTACCCCTTTAAAACAAGCTTATCACACACACTGCTGGTGAAGAAGCAGCAGAAAATCAGGTCTAAGCTGGGGACATGTGGATAAGTAACTTCTTCCTCCTTTCTGCTGGCCCGTGTGGTTGGGACTTTAGAATCTCAGTTCTCTCTGTAAGTATCCATGTGATACTTACACTGGTGAGGCCCCACCTCGAGGGCTGTGTCCAGTTTTGGGCCCCCTACCATAAAAAAGACATCGAGGTGCTGGAGCAGGTCCAGAGAAGGGCGACAAAGCTGGTGAGGGGTCTGGAGCACAAGTCTTATGAGGAGAGGCTGAGGGAGCTGGGGGTGTTCAGCCTGGAGAAGAGGAGGCTGAGGGGAGACCTTCTTGCTCTCTCCAACTCCCTGAAAGGAGGGTGTAGAGAGGTGGGGGTCGGTCTCTTTTCTCAAGTCACAGGTGACAGGACGAGAGGAAATGGCCTCAAGTTGCCCCAGGGGAGGTTCAGGCTGGATATTAGGAAACATTTTTTCACGGAAAGGGTTCTCAGCCATTGGAATGGGCTGCCCAGGGAGGTGGTTGAGGCCCCATCCCTGGAGGTGTTCAAAAGACAGGTTGATGTAGTGCTGGGAGGTATGGTTTAGTGATGATGCTCCTTGTTTGTTGTGCAGGTGTCTATTTTTGTCAGTTAGGGTGACGGTTGGACAAGATGATCTTTAAGGTCCCTTCCAACCTAGAAGATTCTGTGATTCTGTGAAAAAGTCTTGAAGTCTGTTAATAGCTATTGGAGAGGCGTCTGATGGTGCTTTTTAGGAGTCCAAGGACATGGTGTAAGCAGAGGATTTGGGTTTTGCTGTCTCCTAACAATTTTATAACCTCTTTTTCCACAGTATTCTGCCCTTTGAAGCAGTGGTGTGCATGTACCGATTTTTGGGAGCGGACAAGTGTATGTACCCTTTCATCGCTCAAAGGAAACAGGCTACAAACAACAACGAAGCAAAAAATGGAATTTAACACAATTTTTGGCTGGACTAACGTTTCTGGGTGAACACGATAGCGTTACGTGACTGAACGGCGAAGTGCACTTGCATCTGAGGGATGCAAATGTCGACATCTTACCGTGGCATTCTCTTGGGTCCTAAACCTGTGTATGGAACTCTAAAAGTCGATGATTTTTGGGTTGGTTTTGTTTTGGTTTTGTTTTTTTTTATATACTGTAAATAAAACTGACGGGTTGGTTTTGTTTTGGTTTTTGTTTTTTTTTTTTTTTATATACTGTAAATAAAACTGACTAGAGTGCTTGGGAAATGTGATAGGTAAGCAAAGTGAATCCACAATGTAGCTGCCACCGTTGTCCTTTAGGATGTCACTGTGTGTACAGTAAATGAGTCGTACTAATTGTCATGGGGATGTGCTGTGTGGCCTCTCTGCCTCGGCTCTCCCGGGGCTGTCTCCAACGAGAAGGTGCAACGTTTCAGAAATTGATTTTTTTATTTGGGAAGAGGGAGGGAAGGAGGGAGGAAGGGAGGGAGATCTTGAGCTGGAAGCTGTTGCTCGGGACCTTTTAGCAAATGGGAGGACGGTTTCTGAGCGCGTCTCTTCACTGGTTCCCTCAAGCTCTCTGAAGGACACATGGCCCAATTATGGTGTAATTCTCTTTTGTAGCAACTGTGTGTGTTCTATTTAAACAAAGGTAAGAAGAAATTTGTAAATCTCTGCCGATGTAAAGGCGAGCGAATGTCTCGAATACTCTCGGAGCAAACTTATCCTGGGTATCTGGTTTTCTAGGAATGCAGTCGATGACTTAAACTGACTTTTTCTTCAAGTCACTTGATTTGAAATGTGCTCTGTTGTATTTCCCTCTGTATGTCAGAGTCCAATCCACCGTTACGGACTGTATGTTTCTTTTCTTCCTCCTTTATTCTCTACTTCCGACAGAGTTCTCCCACCCACCCCCCTCCCGAGGAAGCTGTTGTATTAAATTTCTGTAACTGGACTCGTGCCTAAAAGACAAAGCAACTCAGCTGAGATACAAACTGTTTATGTAAGTGCTGGTCAAATGCCAATTATTAGCAAAGGAAAAATAGAATAATGCCTGATGCAACTCTACATGCTGAATATGGAAGGGTGTAAAGATTTCTTTTTTTTTTTTTTTTTTGAGTTGTACTCACATTGTAGAACAGCAAATGACATTTTTACAGTATTTTTTGTAAAGCGAACAATTTTGTGCCTTGAATTTGGTAATCTGTATTAGTGGAGCATTGTAAAAGTGAACTTCTACCTCTGTATCTTAATGTATACCATCCACTTGTAAACTACTATCGGACAAATTGTGATTACTTTTTTAGAATGTCTTGTTAAATAGTGACCAATGCCTGTGGTTATTAAAGTGAGCCACCTTTTCCTTAAACCAGTGACTGGAACGCTTCCTTTGAAGACTCAACTGTTGCAAACTGCTTGTGCCTGTTCCGTAGCTCTTTAGCATCAACCTATTTCAAATATTTACTGCTCGATTCCTGTATCACCTTGTTGGCCAAGTGGTTTACGGTGCGATCTCTGAAGTCTATCAGTAAGTACTGGGAAATTAGGCTTTAGGAGCTGACTGTTTTCTCTGGTTTCTGAACTCGTTGATGAAGGAACCAGTCAAGGATCTTTTGAGGAATATTCATAGAATAGAACCATAGAATTGCCTGGGTTGGAAGAGACCTTTAAGATCATCGAGTCCAACTATCAACCCAACTCTGACAAAAACCATCACTAAATCATGTCCCTAAGCACTAGGTCATCCCATCTCTAGGGGTGGTGACTCCACCACTTCCCTGGGCAGCCCATTCCAAGGCTTAATAACCCTTTCTGTGTGAAAATTGTTCCTAATCTCCAATCTGACCCTCCCCTGGTGCAACTTGAGGCCGTTTCCTCTTGTCCCATGGCCTGTTCCTTGGGAGAAGAGACTGACCCCCCCTGGCTACCCCCTCCTTTCAGGGAGTTGGAGAGAGCGAGGTCTCCCCTCAGCCTCCTTTTCTCCAGGCTGAACACCCCCAGCTCCCTCAGCCTCTCCTCACAAGACTTGTGCTCCAGACCCCTCACCAGCTCCGTTGCCCTTCTCTGGACCCACTCCAGCCCCTTAATGGCTTTTTTTGTGTTGAGGGACCCAAAACTGGACACAGCCGTCGGAGCTTCCTTTAGATCTACAGAAAAACGATCTGATGTGGGTGTTGACGGACCCAAAACTGGACACAGCCCTCGGAGCTTCGTTTAGATCTACAGAAAAACGATCTGATGTGGATGCAGTTTTAGTGAGTTAATGCAGTTTCAGCCCAGCTGTGGTTATTACTGCATAGATAGATATATATATAGCATACATACAAAATTTTTAAAATTGCTCTCTGTGTGTAGAATAGCGGTGTGAACTGAGCGTGTTTAGAAATTAAAGTAGAAGAAACTGTTTACATTAACCCTTACTCCAAATTCCATGCTCTTTTGAAAAAGCCTCTTAATTTGGCCCTGGGGAAGTCATTAACTCCTGTGTTCTTACAGCAAAGTCACTGAGAGCAAGTACAGCCAATTTCATTCTGTTAAAATGGCATCATTTTAATTCACATTTGTTTTTCTAACGTGTCTCAATCTATATTGCTGTCTGGGACTAAGAAGCAACTTTTACAGTTTGATATATTGATATTCCAGACACTTAATAGCCTGACAGAGAAGGAGAAATAAGCTGCTGACCAGTAATATCAAGTTTCTATAAAGCATCGTCCCAATTCACGATAGCCACAGGCTTAAGCAAAAGAAAGATTCAGGGCTTGTAGGGTTCTACTTTAATTATCAAATATCATCCTGGTTTATCTGAATTTACTACCATTTCCAGAAATCTCATGGTAGTCTCAGTTCTATGGCTGAGGGGTGGGACTGGTGCCCTCTGTAAGCGTGTTTCTGAATCTTCTTCAGACCCTTAACTTTCAATCTCCTGCTCAAAAGTGGAATAGATACAGAGAGGGAAAGGGGACACCAGGTACCTTGTAGATCTGGTGAGAACTCATTACGTGCTTGTGGGGAGGATCTTTGAGGCTAATTTTCTATTATTCTGGTTTGTCAAGTCATATCAAAGTTGTCGCACGTGACAACCCTGATTCCAAACTTAACATTTTGTGTAGCGCTTGTCTTGCAAAAGGGGGGACTGAGCTTAAATTCAGCTCAGGGCTCCAGAGAAACACATTCAAAGTGTTAGTTTTTCCTGATACGGATGAGCTGTTTTAAAAACAATCCTGAAACTTCTGTCACCTTTAGTCACACCTTAAAAAAGTCAGCACATGAAGAAGCCAGTCACCTGTCCAAGGGGGTTTTCTGTTGCCTCGATGGCTTTCCGGCTGCCGAGGTGACTCCTACGGAGCAGGAAGGGATTTGTGACCTAGAATGGAGTGGGAAGTGGGGTTTCCCCTGATTAAATTACCCTAAACTGCTGCAAATACCACATGATGCTGAGAAATTCCTTCAATGCTGTGAGCCAGGACAAGAGGGAACGGGCACAAACTGGAACATAGGAAATTCCACCTAAACATGAGGAGGAACTTCTTTCCTGTGAGGGTGGCAGAGCCCTGGCAGAGGCTGCCCAGGGAGATGGTGGAGTCTCCTTCTCTGGAGACATTCAAACCCACCTGGACACGTTCCTGTGGGACCTGCTCTGGGTGACCCTGCTCTGGCAGGGGGTTGGACTGGATGATCTCCAGAGGTCCCTTCCAACCCCACAGCATTCTGTGATTCTGTGATCAGAAACGATGAGCATTGCTGTGTCTCCTCAGGGTTGTGGCTCTGATGGACTGCGTTATTTCAGCACGAACCAGTGTAGTTTAAGTACCTCAGGGAGAAGTTTTAAATGGATACTTTGAACTAGTAACTTGGGGTAGGAACATTTTCCTTCATTCTGTAGGATGATGCCACAGAAGTTTACTGTTAAATCCAGAAGAGGCGATAGAGGTGCCCCTCTTGCTATCTTCCTGTCTTTGTCGTAGAATCATAGAATGGCTTGGGTTGGAAGGGACCTTAAAGATCATCAAGTTCCAACTCCCATCTTTGTCCTGCTGTAACAGGGGTAGGCAGCTGATGAGAATTTTCTCCGAAAGCTCCTATCTTGACGGTGGTAAGTGTTATAGCCCCAGAGATGAGCGGTTTGAAGGTGGTTCTGTAGCACTGTGCTTCCCAGTAAGCAGGACAAATCATACCCGTGGTGTTCCTGGGTCAATGGTCAGTGGAGAGAAATAGGTGCTACCAGATTCACAGACTTGGGGGTTTTGGGGCGAGTTTTAGTGGTGTTCCTATCTGATGGTTAGGTTCTTTCACAGCACAGGAGCTGGCTGCTTCCTCACTACAGAAGATGTCCGGATGACGAGCTCAGTCATTACCATCCGTGCTTGGTCAGAGGAATGGTACCTTGAGGGTTGACATGTGCTCTGTTCAAACCAGAGCTCAGAAGGTTTGAGAGAGCTTTCTCCTCTCTGAGGAATAAAAGTCCTCACGTTTGCTCCAAGGTAAGTACATGTGCCCAGGCAGCTGCTGTGGTATCACTGGTGTTATCAAAAGTGTGTTCTGATAGAACCAGCCTTACCGTGTGGTAGCTTCCTCCTGGGCTTACACTTTGAGAGTTGGCCTGTAATTCCCAAGTAAATGTCTACACCAACAGTTTTTTAAAGCCAGGCTCTTCCCAGTGGCGCCCAATACCAGGACCAGAGGCAGTGGGCACAAACTGAAACACAGGAGGTTCCTTCTCAACATCAAGAAATACCTTTTCCCTGTGAGGGTGACCAAGTGCTGGCACAGGTTGTCCAGGGAGTCTGTGGGGTCTCCATCCTTGGAGATATTCAAAGGCCATCTGGACATGGTCCTGGGCAAGCTCTAGGTGGCCCTGCTTGAGCAGGGGGTGTTGGGCCAGATGGTCTCCAGAGGTCCTTTCCAACCTCAGCCACGCTGTGATTGTATGATTCTTTAAGAAAAAAGGGATCCTGGTTTCTGGTTAGTTGACATGCTGTGGAAGTGAGTGAGTGTCTCTGAAAAGCCTGACTGTGTAGGAAGCAAACGTAGAGCAATTTGAATTCACATCTCCTACGCCAATGTCCTGTATGGACAGTCCCAATGGGTAGTAGAGCCTGGATTGATCTCATTAACTTTATATAGCTAAATAGCAGCCTGTAATCCTAGATTTTCCCTCTGTCCCACAGAAGTGTCC